AATCGATATGAATGACCTGGTTTTAGTATGCCTGCTAGTATACTGTATCAAATGCACACTCACAATTATCACATCGGAGCACTATTTGAAAAGGAATGAAATCATTCATAGTGGAGTAGGAGATTTACTAAATAATTATAAATTTTTTTTATATTTGCCCATGTTGTCGAAATTATTATTTTACAGAGTAAAGAAAAAATCAAAAGAATTAGATATTTTAGACCATTTTTAAAATGACGTTTGGTGGTCCTCCCAACTTAGGGAAAAATTATTGTGTCCGTATTTATAGGTGAGAACATTTTTCCCTTAAAATTTAAACATATTTTTGACGGAATAAAAAGTAAAAATATCGTGCATTAAGTGTAATGGGATGTAAAAAAAAATTGAGTCGGGCCATTTCTAGGCAGTAGGTCGGGAGGGAGGGCAACCAAATATTTTTTGTATAAAAGTGGTCTTAACAAAATAAGCTTAGGCGTCGGAACCGGGGGAGGCTAGGGGGAGTTCCCCCCCCCCCCACTTTTTTGCAAAAATAGATATAACATGGGCATTGAAAATTGGGATTTACCTTTTTTGTTGGTTTAGCCCCCCCCCCTTTTAAATGTGCTTCCAACGCCCATGATAAGGCTAGTATACTTAGTGATGGGGGGTAGCCTCCCACTTTTTGTTTTGCGAAGATAGATATAGCATAGGCAATGGACCTTTCTTCGCAAACATGGTGCTCTCTTCTAAATTTCAAAGAAACAACTCAATATATTTTATCAAACTTCGTATGTTGGTGGAAGCTTACAACCTTGTCAAAATAATGAGACATGATGTGTTTTTATGTCCAAACATTGTTCCATACAATGTATGGGCCATTGCAAACAATCTAGCTATTTATATGAGGTGTCTGAAGGAAATCCTATAACTGACTATTTTTTGTATCTAAGTGCAAAACAACATTGACAGTTGTACCAACTTTTCGAATGTAATACATGTAATTACAATTTTTTTTTCATGCACGGCACATTTTTTAACATTTTCAAATTAAAAGCTAAGCATCCTCCTTGCAGAGCCCCATTTGAAAATAACTTCTATCGCCACAGAAAAGAGACCCGCCGTAAACACATATGTTTAGGACAATTTTAATATTTTTTCTTGAATTTTAAAGAAACCAACAAATTATCAGTAATTGTTCCATGAAAAATTAAATATAATCATAGTAATAAACACATCTATCCACAGCAGATACATGTATATGGCACATGTCAACCACGTGCGCAGTGGAATGAGATGATCGAGGAAATTCGAGCTATAAACAGAACAGTGTTTCCCGATTTGCTGGAGTGGGGTTAAAATTGCGTTTTTTTCATTAATCAGACGATGCAATGTTACAAACTAAAGTAGTAAGTTATATAACCTAGGGAATATTACTTCAGAATTTCTTGTCTTGATGTTGTTATGGTCGCATTTATTCTAAAAGCAATGTTATTTGAACTCTGTGTTACAGAGGAATGGCGGACGTAATGAACACCATGGCCTCATGAAGACCCCCATATGAAAAATCAAATTTTCAAGAATTATGGATAATGACAAGAAAAAAGCGAAACAAATGGTTGTAGCCATATTATCAATGAACCGAACTGACATCATTTTCAATGCATTTTTCATTTCGTGAATGCTGTAGCTGCGCAGTTCTAACATGATTGATTTCCTCCTAATTAAAGCAAAATAAACTTAATTATTTACTAATTTTGGTCTCTAACAGTAGGTAATGAGTGCATTAGCACTTTGAGCAACTTTGGGCTAGTTTGGTAAAGCATTAAGCGCATTCTTGTTATTTCTTATTTTACACCAGACTAGATCTAATATGGCTTGTACATCCCCCTTAAAAAATGCTTTATTTGGACACTATTCGGCAATAACTGCGAACTTAAATTGAACTCAGAGCAAATTACAGTATTACGTTAAACGGAACGGACAAATACATATTAATTAAAGAGGTTGATGACAGTTTTCACTTTAGAAGCGTTCATTAATATTTGTAACTTTATTTCTACCACGTGATTCGTATCATATAATTTCAGATTATTTCCTTGGTTCTGAAGATGAAGAGCTTTCGTTTCAAAATGTTCATGACATGCATCTTCATAACCTTAACATTTGTCACAAATCTACTGAAAAGGCCTGGCAATGAACTGAAAGACCCTTCCTTATTCTACCGCATTACAAAAAGGGATCTGTCTCTTGGAAAAAATGACACCAGTTTAAACGTGCCCAAGGCAACACCAACGCCATTTTATGCACAAATTACCTATATAACTAACCCTTCTTCCATCTGCGATTCCTTTAAAACGTATAATGGAATCAAAATATTAATACTCGTGAAGTCTTCTCCAGAAAATTTTCATTTCCGAAAATGGGTACGTTTTAAAATTCAGAACTACATTAACTTAAGAGATTCGGTAAAGACGGTGTTTCTGCTTGGTCAATCTGTTACCAGAGATAAGGACGTTCTTAAAGAGAGCAAAATATACGGAGACATCATCCAGGGAAGTTTTGTGGATGCCTACAGAAACCTGACTTATAAAACAATCATGGGGTACAGATGGATGAGCAAGTACTGTGAGGACTCGGAGTTTATTGTGTGCAAAGACGATGACTTCAAGATTAATATTGTTAACATTGTAAAGCAGATAAAAGCCCATAAAGAGCCAAAGACCATGTTCATTGGTCGCCTAGTCGAAAAAGGAAATACAATATATCGTGATCCGAATCATAAATGGTATCTCTCAAAGGAAGATTTCCCTGAAAATGTTCTTCCACCTTATTTTCCAGGAGGTGCTTATATAGTAAGCGCAACCATTGCCAAAAAATTGGTTTCAAATTTTCATTTAGTGAAATGGCTACCAATTGACGATGTTTACATAGGACTTGTTGCTCAAAAATCAAACATTACATTAACACATTCAAAGCTATTTGAGTTCAATAACTGTGACAGGTTCCATGAAAATTTAGCCTGCAGAGAGTTCACCAGACCCCAAGAGTTATTACAGGCATGGAAGTACGTGGTTCTTGATGACCTTGAAAAATCAAGAGCAAGTAGTTCAAACAGTATCTATTACATAGCCTATAGCTTGTTCTTGAGCAATATTATTACGATTCTACGTGGTTGGTGATTTCGTGAGCAATAAAAGCAGAATCAAACGAAGTCTTTTTCTTCAGAATGCATAGTTATATTTTTAAACTCGCCTATGATAAAATTGTTAATTGTGTACTGCTGCAGCACTATAAGTCAGTATTTATTATCAACCAAATTTGTTTTCAATGTACTCAAAGTAAATGGGTGGTTCAAGTGAGTAACATATCTATAGAAGTTAGGTGGTATTTTGTTGACACTCCCAAGTTTCTCTTTGTTCTGCTTAACTGATATGAATTTGACAAACAACAGAACCAGCATACAACATGAAGTAAAATAAATATGTTTCACTAATTTTTTATTACAAATGAAGAAAACTGTTAATTTGAATATCACAACACATACCTAACAGGTATCAAAACATGGCATTAGCATCAACAAGTAGTAACAGTTTTAATTCCTTGATGATACGAAATATTCTGTTAACCTCTATCTTAAGAGACTCTTACATCATTGCTTAGAAGATGATAGAACTCTGAGCAACTATTTTAAATATTTACTGGGTGCCTAGCAGGCATGGTAAGTATGAGTGATTTACAATATTTTTTTTGTTTCATATTTGCCTCCTATTGAATTGAATAACTGCATGAAATTAACATTCGAACCTTATTTTTACTGCACACTAAAACATGCATGTTTACTTCAACTGTTCTTTCAAGGTTATTAATGTAATTTAGAAAGAAATCAGGACGGATAATACAGGTTTTAAATAATTCAGTTACATTTTTATTATATTCTTTGCATATTGCTTGATTGCGATTTTTGGCTCATCTGTGTTTTTCCCATCGTGCTCATCTGCTGATCTCAATATTGATATATAAAAGATCATTTCTGTACACGTAGAACTTTGAATTCCCTCGTTCAAATTTGTGGGGAAAAAGTTCTTAGTTAACGTTATAGCACCTAAACTGACTCGATCATTTTACATGTACACATAAATCAGAAATTGTAGGTCGATTCTATATAAATAGTATCACAATGCGATGACTAGAAAACAGCACATAAAAAATAAATAATACAATAAGCAGTATTTTTTTTCTGAAATTGTTCTACCCATTTTAATTACTGATGTGGTAAATCATGCCTTCCAGTAGTTTTTTACTTAGATTTTGCTCCAAATGTTAAAATGATTTTGGCGAAACCAATTACAAGCCTATTTTTACTAGTTAAGTCTTCTTTAGTTAAGTTAAGTGATTTTGAAAGTAATTTTTGACATGTATATTTTCCTATTTACATGGTATGACTATTTTTTTTATTGGCTCATGAATTTTTATAACTTATACATGTAATGAAGGTAAACTAAATGTATCATGAGATTCACATGTGGTTCAATATATATCAATGTGGAGTGAAAGTGTAAAAAAAAAAACGCACAAAAATTTGACTGGGATCGAAACAATTGTTGATACTGTAAAACTAGCATGCTGTATTAACAAATATGCAAATACTCATCTTTTGCAAAAATGATCATTAAAAAAAATATCAACATTTCGAGTGGAATGACATCAGCAAGTTTACCACGACATGAATATACAAGTACCTGTTACTATCTACTATTTTACCACTAGAAACACGGTAACAAACGTCATTTAAGTACTCTGACAAAAATAAATATATTAACTAACAACATAATTTCTACAAATTGATCTTCGAAGTCTGTAATTTAAGTCATTACCAGTTCATTTATCCATAAATTTACTTTGCTAAATGTAACTTGATTTAGCTGAACATATTTTTTTTTTACTGAAAACAAACTTTCGATTTATACCAAGTTTTATGCATACATGTATTTTCTTAAAAGACGACAAGGGCAGTTTTATGAGGGTGTTCCCTTATTAATGACCAAGAGCGTCATATTTTTCTTGTGCTGCTTCTTTTCTGGGTTCGCTAATATTCTCCAAGTTCTCCATTTCTTCTTTGTCTTTAGCCCACTCTTGAATTTCTCCATCGGAAAAAATCAGAAAGAAAATGGCTCCCAAACAGTAAATAACAGCAGCAACGTAAAACGCTATCAGCCATTCCTCTTGTGTTTTCTGAAACGAGATAAACTCTTTAACACTCTGTTTAAACAATATTTTTGTATTTGTGTGGTTGGTTAATAAATTCGTTGATTATTATGTCCCTTAGAGAACTGTTCACTCATCTTGATACGGCACCACTTGCCGGAGGAGACCTTTACTCGCTACTCATGACCTTTGAGCACTGAGGGATCTTTTAAATGCTCGGTTTATACGGTCTCACCCAAAGGACCGGTGTAACAGAATTTGATCCGGTTTTATGATGAAAATTCAATGATTCGGCTCAATTTTCATCAGGCTGTGGTTTGAATTCAAAGCTTAATATTCAACGATGAAAAAAACTGGATCAGTTTTCAATCTGGGTCAGAATCACACAAATGAACTGTCTCCACGTCGCACAGTGAAATCGAACTCGCAGCGTAAGGACCATCTCCTTAAATCGCCACTTTAGAGCAATTGCTCTAACCAGTGCGTCACGCTGAATAAACAATAAAAGGTGTATCTCACAATTTTATCGATATATAGATACAAAGAAAAATATATTTAACAAAAGATGTACCATATTTCCTATAAAAACAAAATTTTGTGATGTTTTGATACACAATTACATGAAGCGGAATTTATTCAAAATCTTATACATGGGAAGAAGTAAACACTTGATGTGGCCCTCAACTTGACCTTAAGATATATCAAAGACGTATTATCAATAAACAATAGCTATGTTCATTCATATGTCGACACTATATCCCAGTTAGCTTTAAATAAAAGATTCTACAGAGTCTGACACATCTGTTTCATATTTGGTTATTTTATTAAAACAAGAGGCCCATGGGCCACATCGCTCACCTGAGCACTGTGGCTAGGAAAAAGTAGAAATTGGTTTATTATTGAAAAGTTTAAATCCAAAATTAGTCCCATAACCAATCATGGCTTTGCTATTCTTGAGAAGACGACTTTTAAAAGAATTTTCCTATATATGTCTATGTAAAACTTTGATCGGCCATTGTGGCTACGCCCTACCCCAGGGGGTCATGATTTGAACAAACTTGAATCTACACTACCTGAGCATGCTTCCATATAAATATGATCAATTATGGCTTTGCAATTCTTCAGAAGATTTTTTTTTTTAAATTCCTATATATTTCTATGTAAAACTTTGGTCGGCCATTTTGGCCCCCTACCCGCGGGGGTCATGATTTGAACAGACTTTAATCTACACTACCTGAGGATGCTTCCATATAAATATGATCAATTTTGCCTTTGCTATTCTTGAGAAGAAGATTTTTAAAGAATTTTCCTATATATTTTTATGTAAAACTTTGGTCGGCCATTGTGGCCCCGCCGTACCCCCGTGGGTCATGATTTGAACAAATTTGAATTTGCACTACCTGATGATGCTACCATATAAATATGATCAATTATGGCTTTACAATTCTTGAGAAGAAGATTTTTAAAAAATTTTCTTATATATTTCTATGTAAAACTTTGGTTTGTCATTTTGACCCTGCCCTACCCCCGAGGATCATGATTTAAACAAACTTTAATCTACACTACTTGAGGTTGTTTCTGCATAAATTTCATCTTTCCTGGCACAGTGGTTCTTGAGAAGAAGATTTTTAAAACATGCAACAAAATTTTCACTAATTCCCAATTATCTCCCCTTGAATGAGGGCGTGGCCCTTCATTTGAACAAAATTGAATCCCCTTTACCCAAGGATGCTTTGTGGCAAGTTTGGTTGAAATTGGCCAAGCGATTCTTAAGAAGAAGTCGAAAAGTGAAAAGTTTACAGATAGACAGACGGACAGACAGCTGGACGGACGCCGGACGAAATGTGATCAGAAAAGCTCACTTGAACCTTCGACTCAGGTGAGCTTAAAAACGTTAATAATAACCTAACAACAAGAGGCCCATGGGCCACGTCGCTCACCTGAGCACTGTAGCTTGGAAAAAGCAGAAATCAGTTTATTATCGAAAAGTTTAAACAAACAAGAGGCCCATGGGCCACATCGCTCACCTGAGCACTAAGGGTAGGAAAAAGCAGAAAATGGCTTTTTATTGTAAAGTTTAAATCCAAAAGTAGTCCCATGACCAATCATAGATTTGCTATTTGTTAGAAAATCATTTTTAAAGAATTTTCCTATATATATCTTTAAAAACTTTTGTCGGCCATTTTGGCCCCGCCCTACACCTGGGGGTCATGATCTGAACAAATTTGAATCTACACTACTTGAGCATGCTTCCATATAAATATGATGAATTATGGCTTTGTCATTCTTGAGAAGAAGATTTTTAAAGAATTTTCCTATATATTTCTATGTAAAAGTTTGGTCGGCCATTGTGGCCCCACCCTACCCCGGGGGGTCATGATTTGAACAAACTTGAAACTACACTACCTGAGCATGCTTCCATATAAATATGATGAATTATGGCTTTGTCATTCTTGAGAAGAAGATTTTTAAAGAATTTTCCTATATATTTCTATGTGAAGGTTTGGTCGGCCATTTTGGCCCCGCCCTACCCCGGGGGGTCATGATTTGAACAAACTTGAAACTGCACTACCTGAGCATGCTTCCATATATATATGATGAATTATGGCTTTGTCATTCTTGAGAAGAAGATTTTTAAAGAATTTTCCTATATATTTCTATGTAAAACTTTGGTCGGCCATTTTGGCCCCGTCCTACCCCCGGGGGTCATGATTTGAACAAACTTGAATCTACACTACCTGAGGATGTTTCCCCAAAATTTCATCTTTCCTTGCACAGTGGTTCTTGAGAAGAAGATTTTTTAAATATGCCACTAAATTTTCATTAATTCCCAATTATCTCCTCTTGAATAAGGGCGTGGCCCTTCATTTGAACAAACTTGAATCCCCTTCACCCAAGGATACTTTGTGGCAAGTTTGGTTGAAATTGGCCCAGCGGTTCTTGAGAAGAAGTCGAAAATGTGAAAAGTTTACAGACAGACGGACAGACGGACAGACAGACGGACGCCGGACAAAATGTGATCAGAAAAGCTCACTTGAGCCTTCGGCTCAGGTGAGCTAAAAAGTGGTTCCAACCAATCCTAAAAGAGGGAAGAGGGTATGATTGAAACAAACTTGAATCTACACTAACTAAGGATGCTTGCATATTTCTTTGACTACCTGTGGCTTTATGGCCCTTTACATTTAAACTTACATTGTGGCCCCGCCCTACCCCCCCCCCCTCCCCCCCTTGGGTCATGATTTGAACAAACTTGAATTTACACTGCCTGAGAATGCTTCAATATGAAAATATCTAATCATGGCTTTGCCATTATTGAAAAGAAGATTTTTAAAGAATTTTTCAAAATATTTCTATGTAAAACTTGGATTCCATGTTGTGGCCCCGCCCTACCCCCCAGGGGTCATGATTTGAATAAACTTGAATCTACACTAACTAAGAATGCCTCCATATAAATATGACTAATCATGGCTTTGTTATTCTTGAGAAGAAGAATTTCCCTATAAATTTCTATGTAAAACTTTGATTCGCCATTTTGGCCCCGCCCTACCCCCGAGGGTCATGATTTGAACAAACTTGAATCTACACTACCTGAGGATTAATTGATTGTATATTGTTTAACGTCCCTCTCGGGAATTTTTCACTCATATGGAGACGTCACCGTATGCCGGTGAAGGACTTCAAATTTTGACCTTTACTCGGCACTCAGGGCCATTGAGCAGTGAGGGATCTTTATCGTGCCAACGCCTGCCGCTGACACGGGGCCTCGGTTTTTAAGGTCTCATCCGAAGGACCCGCAACTTTCACTTCAAAGTGCCGAGCGCATGGCGAAGGAACAGTTGCTACCCATTTTATCGACTGGGTCAGTCGCGGCCGAGATACGAACTCACCACCTCCCGATCACGGGGCGAGCGCTCTACCAACTGAGCTACCGTGAACGGTCACTACCTGAGGATGCTTCCCTATAAATATGATCAATTATGGCACAGTAGTTCTTGAGGAGAAGATTTTTAAAGAATTTTTCTATATATTTCTATGTAAAACTTTGATCAGCCTTGTGGCCCCGCCCTACCCCCGGGGGTCATGATTTGAACAAACCTGAATCTACGCTACCTATGAATGCTTCCATATGAATATGACCATTCATGCCTTTGCTATTAATGAGAAGAAGATTTTTAAAGAATTTTCTTATATATTTCTATGTAAAACTTTGGTCGGCCATTGTGGCCCCGCCCTACCCCCGGGGGTCATGATATGAATAAAATTGAATCTACACTACCTGAGGATGTTTCCTCATAAGTTTTATCTTTCCTGGCACAGTGGTTCTTGAGAAGAAGATTTTTAAAAGATACCACCAAATTTTCATTAATTCCCATTTATCTCCCCTTGAATGAGGACGTAGCCCTTCATTTGAACGAACTTAAATCCCCTTTACCCAAGGATGCTTTGTGGCAAGTTTGGTTGAAATTGGCCCAGCGGTTCTTGAGAAGAAGTCGAAAATGTGAAAAATTAACAACAACGACGATAACGACGACAATGAGACAAATTGTGATCAGAAAAGCTCACTTTGAGTCTTTGGCTCAGGTGAGCTAACAAAGCGTTATAATAAACGCAACGTTTCAATAAACAATATTCTTACTTATGTAGCAATATACCCTTAATAGCTTGTCACCTCATATAGGTGTTTATTACCGTATCTCTCTCAGTTGATTTTATACGCAGGGGTATGCTCTGTGAACGAAATTATTGACAAAGAAGTTGATGAAACAATAATATCAACAGTCTTGTTTAAAGTCAGTATACGTATATCGCAAGTTCTGTGGTCGCTACTGATCCCACCTCTGATTTTTAAACTAATTCTGAATTGTGTTATTTGAACGGATTTGTAAGCTTACTTGTGCAAAAATTCTGCTGGCCCTCCGCCAATACTGTAGAGCAAATTGTATAATTTTCTACATTTATATAGACCTTAAAATATCCAGTTATTAGAGGAACAATTATTTGCGGAATTTCTGTTTTAATGAACCACTAAAATCTATCCGTACTTTATTAGACGATTCTCGACCAGGTATGATTCAAATTTTGCATATAACGACATTATTAAATACCATTATCTTGCCATGCACATAAGCTAATTCGAAAGAAAACGTTCAAAATAAATGACAACAGGCCAATGAAAAAACTTACGTTAACAGTTACGGAGGCGACCACATAGGGCGCAATTATCCCTGGAATACTCGCTCCAGTATTGGTAAAACCAAATATAGTACCAGCATAGTTGGGAGCAATATCACCATGGTTCACAAAAACGGACGGAAACTGGAAGCCACAGAACGCAAGTGACAGTGTAAGAAGGAAAACAGCCGCTTCCTGCTGGAAACACTTCATATATCCAAGGGCAAACAAAAAAGCCGCGGGTACAAAATGACCTACAAAATAACACTATTCCAATGAAAAACTATTTATTGGGTCCATATATACGTACGTAATCTATACCTATCATTTACATCTTCTTTGTACATTTTATTCAAATACAAATTTCTGACTGAAAGTATTTTAGGCCAAAAAAAATAATAGTCTTGTTTCCTGCTACCAGCCTTAAAAAAAATAGGGTAGGTAGGTAGGAAAATTATTTTATTTTATTTTTTTATTTTATTTTTTTCCGACAGCATTTTTTGAATATGAACTGAATACATGATCAAATTAAACATATCACAAGTCACTCAATATAATCTTTTACTTAAATTTCATATCTTGATGCACAACAACTCAAGTGGTATTTTATAATATACAGTACACTGTGTAGAAAGCTCTTTTAGTTTTCTTAGAATTTTTTTTTCAGTTATGGAACATGAAGGTATTTGTCAAGTAGATAATCAATCATTCCTTTAAAAACTCAGCGAAGGACCATATGTGTTACAGAAACCATGAACTTTGTTAGATTACAATGATTTGATTTCTGAGCAGGTTAATTTTATCGTTGTTTACTATTTGAAATCTAAAACAAAAAAACAAAAAAAGATGATGAATCTTTATACATGTACATTTGTAATTTAAGTGAAATATTTTAGTGAACAGGAACTAAATCAAGAACAAATGTTAATTGAAATTTCTTTTTTAAAAAGTGGAAAATAGTATTTTATTTACATTAAACAATATAGGACTATTGAAACAGAATGGGAATTAATTTTTTTAATAAAGTCCATGCAATGGGTATTTTACTGATATTAGTCCCACCTTTCATTTAATATATGTATGTATTTATTTCTTAAAATAAGTTTTAGTTAGTTAAAATTGCAAGTTGTAAAAGTAATTATCCAGAAGTTAGACATGTGTTTATGGTGATAATTACGTTTAAAAGATTGACTAGACTAATTATGTTTTCCTTTACTTGCAATATTACCGTTTCCTGGTATTAGTCTAACCCCATATTTAATCATGGCGGTAAAACTAAAAGTATCTACAAGACACGGGATCCTTCCATGTTTTCAACATTCACCACTACTTTTATGCTCTTTGCACTTGGATTTGGTAATAAAATTAAAGTATGACAATTTTATTTTTTGTTAGCGATGTCGGCGATATTTATTTTATAATCGATGAGTAGCATCGAAGAGCTTCTGACAACTGACAATCGATCACTAGCAAAGATATCATTTAAAGTGGTAGAACTCGAAAAGGTTGTTATTACACTTGTTTTTGTGTCCTTGTAGCGACACCGTTCCAAAATAACAGAGAGCACATGAGGCTGGCCTCTTCCAACATGTCCAATGGCCGCCGCCATTTTGTTTTGTATTTATAACAGGGGAACTGAAAACGGTGACAGAACGACAAATTCCGGAAATATTTCGATTTTTTTTCCAAATCGAAAAAAAAACTTTAGGGTCGGCCCCCAAAAATAGGGTCGGTCGGGTAGCAGGAAACAAGACTATTTTTTTTTTTGGCCTTACTCTAAAAATATCTCGATGATGCAATAAAGGTTAAATACCTATTGCACAACACAACTTTCTAGTCCATTTGATGCTTAAAATTTGCCTTGAAATAAGTGTGTCTGCAAATATTCCGGCCACTATGATCGTCATCCAGAATGCTAGATATGGTATCATAGAATAAATCCCATTCTGCAGAAGAGGAAAGATAGTCATATTGAAAAACATCACAACAAAATTAATCCTTCAAAATGATGTACTTTTGCTACCAAGTTATTCTTTATAGCGAGCGCAGCGAGCGTCGCGAAGCGACGCTCGCGAAGCGAGCTCAATAGACTAACGTGTAAGAACAGAGGAAATTCGGATTGAAATCTGTACATACGTCAGCCAAATTTCTCTGTGCAACATTCCCAGAATTCCTGCACTACCCAATGTCCTTTGCGCGAATAAATCAAAAATAGTAAAAAAAATAAAGGAACATTGTTTCTTACCGAAATCTTAACGAAATGATTTTTCCTTACCTTATTCAAAAAAATACACCCATGCCACAACACCGGCTTTCACCTTGCCCTTCGGAAATGATACAAATGACGTCACCGGAAACTTACGAATTTTGACGATATGCTAATTAAGTCATGTCGGTTGCTTCCGTGAAATAGATAAATAAATAAACAATAACGTAAAGCATAAAAAGCTTTCAGTTTGTAGAAATCTTTCAAAGAAACAAAAAATAACTCTGCAATGTTTTTCGACCGAAATTGTGCTAGATCTATAGTTTAAAACAGACGCTCGGCCGTTTCCGTAAGCTCCGACGAGCTCCGTGACGTCATGTGACGTCAAAGCTAGTCGAAATTCTCGTGCGACTTGATGTTTGAAGTGGCTGATCAATTTTTCAAGTGTTTTGATGGTACAACTGCGCTCGCCTCAACGGTCACGCCGTAAAACATATTAATTCAAAGTTCAAACCATACTGTTAGATTCTTACAGACTTGATGTTAAACTTGAGAACTTCCTTCAGATACGTAGGAATCTGAGTCAACAGCATGTAAGCACCATAGTTTCCAGCTGCATTGGTCACAAGAATAGCCCAAACAGGAAGTGACGTCAGAATGGATTTCCAGGGTTTACCCTGCAAAATATCACGGAAAACAGCAATGTATTTAACAACAAAATGCCAAGAAGTTTGGTCTAGAAGAAAAAGCACACATGAATAATGAAACTTTTAGCCTTGAACAATGAAAAGTTATATATTGGCAAGTTTGAAGTTTGGTAAAATTTAGCAGAAGTGGGTCAGACTCTCGAAGGTCATGGTCAAATATAATGGATACTGAAAGAAAGGACTTGTCAAAGGAATACCACAATAGATCAATAAAGGTCTAGTCGAGAAAAATGAAAGACCTAGCTCCAAACAAAAGCTATAGGCAAGATTAAAGTTTTTGTGGTCAAACAGAAAAAAATATGAACAAACAAAAATTATGTAAAAATATATTGAGCAGTAAAAATGTTTCTTATGTACGGACTGATAATAAACTGTGTATATGTTTTGCTTTCCAACATTTCTACTCTGAATTTTTTTGATTATAGTTTTAATATTTTCCATTAATACACAACAAGATTGCCACTTTTACTAAGTATTAAGAATAAATGTAAAATTTGTGAAAGGATGTGTCAATCAAACCCACCCAAAAATTTGAAGTTTCAATAACTTTAAGATGTAATAAAATTTTTAATATTTTTTCATGTTAAGTGCTATTAAAATATATAAATCGTGATATTATACAGAAAATATTAACTTCAAATCTGTGTCCATGCACCTTTAATATAAAATTGAAAAAAAAAATCATTCTCTCGTCTTTACTCTAAGACAATACAATTTGAAGAATTAAAAATTCCATTCATAATCTTTTATATTTGGACACTTTTAGACATTAAATGCGAGCTTAAATAAATTCAGAGCAAATTACAGTATTTCTTTCACAGGATAACACGGTACCAAATTAAGACGTAGATTACAGTATTTACAAAAGAAGCGTTTAATTTGTTACTTCATTTCTAGCTGGTGACTCGTATTATTATATTATGTAAGATTGTTTCCTTGGTGCTGGAGATGAAGAGCTGTCTTTTCAAAATGTGTTCCTGACATATATTTTTATAACCTTTACGAGTATACTGGTTACAAAAATATTGAAAAGACCTCGCAATGAACTGAAAGGCCTCTCCTTAGTCTACTGCATCACTAAAAAGAATCTGCCTCCAGCAATAAATGACAGTCTTAATGTGTCCAAGGCAATACCATTGTATGCAAAAATTACATATATATGTATAATAAACCCTTCTTTGATCTGCCATTCTTTAAAACTTATAATGGAACCAAAATTATTACTCATTAAGTCTTTTCCAGAAAATTTTCATTTCCGAAAATAGATGCGTTTTTAAAATTCGATTAAATCATTGTGTTTTTTTTCTGGGTCAGTCTGTTAGCAGAGATAAGGGAATTCTTAAAGAGAGCAAAATATACGGAGGCATCATCCAGGAAACTTTCGTTGACGCTTATAGAAACCTGACTTATAAAACAGTGACGGGGTACAGAAGCATGACCAAGTACTGCGAGGACTCAGATTTTGTTGTACACAAAGACGATGACTTCAAGATTAATATTTTTAACATTGTAATGCATATTAAGGCCCATAAAGAGCGAAATACCATGTTTATTGGTCGAAAAAGGCAATACGATATATCGTAATCCGAGTCATAAATGGTATTTCTCAAGAGAAGGTTTACCTCTTAATGTTTTTCCGTCTTATTTTCTTATCTAGTAAGCACGACCATTGTCAAAAAGTTCTTTCATATTTACATAAAGTGAAATGGCTGCCAATTGAGGATGTTTATATAGGACTTGTTGCGCATATATCAAACAATTACTAGTACATTAACACATTCAAAGCTATTAGAATTTAATAGCCATGAAAAGCTCCATAAAAAATTAGCCTGTAGAGAGGCTAGTTCATCTAACCTCACAAAATATTACAGGCATGGAAGTATGTGATTCTTAATGATCTTGAAAAATCAAAAACAAGTGGTTCAAATTGTATCTATTACATAACCAATACCTTGCTTTTAAGCAATATTATTATACGATGCTACATGTAGCAATCAATGATTCCATGAGCCATAAAAACAAAATCAGTCGATGTCTTTGTCTTTAGAATACATGGCTATATTTACAAACTCACTAATTACAAAATTGTTGTGTACTTCTGCAGACCTGAGGTTGGGAAAGTGGTAATAAAATCACAAGAAAAATAATTTTTGTGTTTTTAATTAACTTTGCAGCATTTCTTAGTCTTGCTAGGCTGCAACATGCAAGAGGTTCACGGCGAGATAATTTTGACTTGGCATTGATCGAGATACATATAAAGCAACGTTAGGATTCATTTACACACACTGGGAGTATATAAATATATCATAGTATATAATATAAATTATATAAAATATAAACGATGAATCTTACCTGCACATGTACACTGTAGTGATACAGAGACGCTAGAATTACAAAGAGTAGTGTTGTCAAATTCAGTCACGGATTTTAATTAGAGGTACTGTGAGCACTGAGCTCACAAAATGAAGACCTCGTCTCCCATATGGTTATAATGGCAAAGTCCATGTTTTGCTCTGGGAGACCCGAAGTAAGTGTCAGATCAAAAAGTAATATAGGAGGTGCACAATGGCACCATGTAACAAAAATTCTATGAAAGATACAATGGTATAAGAAGAGTTGCGGATAAGAGATGGGTACCCCAAAGCGTATAACGGAACGGAAGTAAAGATAGACGGACGGACATTCCGAACACTCGTATATACCCTCCCACTTCAATATCGTGGAATATTTTAAATAAGTAACCTTACCTCGGTTCACACTCTTAATTTTGCAGAGACTGGAAAAGGCCAGGATTTAAAAAAGATCAAGGCTTAAGGTACAAATAAAGTGACGGGTTGAACAATGTTTTAAGACATTTTATCATTGCTAAGGTTTACCACGCTGAAAGGAGTGGTTTCATTATGCAGAAAGAAACTTTTATTTACAAATGTATCAAACTCGATCAAATTCAAGTTATTTACAAAATGAATAATCAAAAGTTTTGACTATGAAGGGCAGAAATGATGAAAAGCCCTTTGGTTTGGATAAAACAGATTGTACCTTCTTTCGCAGATCAGGGTTCTCCGGCAAATTTTCTTTTCCGAGCGAGTGTTCGATATACTTTTTCTCGATTTCTGTAATATTTGGCATTTCTTCTGGACTGTCCCTCACGAAGAACCCCCAAAACAGTGTCCAGAGCAACGAGCAGGATCCTAAGAATAAATTATGTTATGAAAATATCTTCCTTTAACAGGAAAGTTCTTCCATAATTTACTTATGTAAAAGTAATCCTTAAAATGAACACTCAGTATGACAAAAGATGAGTTTAAATGATTGACTCTTTTCAACTGAAAAGCATATTTTTGTACGGGTAAAATGTTTGAAAATTCTATTGTACATAGTTTATTGCACATTATAACAATAATTTTATTACGTATATATGCAGAAGTATTATTTCCTCTGCGATAGACTTGGAGGAAAGGCATATTATCTTACCTAAGAAATAGAATATCCAAGGCCAGCCAACATATTCACAGAAAAGACTAGATACGGGAAACGCTAGAGCATTTCCAAGCTGAGTACCTGAAAATTACCAATATTTTTCATAATTATGACCTAGAGTTGATGAACAATTAAAACTGAAACATGGATGCTGTTTTTTTATTGTCTTAGCTTACCCCCAAATGCAAATCCTACAAGCCTACTTCTTTCGTGGGGCGGCGACCATTTGGCCCAAAATGCTTGAGCTCCAGGGTACATCGTAGCCTATCAAAAAGAACATTTAGCTTGTGCACAATTATTCAATTAATTTGGTCGTCAAAAAGATCATACCATTATACCTACTTCTCCTATTCCTATAAAGACACGAGTTATTATGAGCAAGCTGGAGCTTCTTCGAGCAAGGAATGGTGTTAAAATGGTGAGGACGGACACCAATGACATTCCTACGAAGATCGTTAGGCGAGGCCCGAAGCGTGCGCCCGCGCGCGCGCGCGCGCGCGCGCGCGCGCGCGCGCGCGCGCGCGCGCGCGCGCGCGCGCGCGCGCGCGCGCGCGCGCGCGCGCGCGCGGTTCCGACAGAACACCGGAGGGAATCTGCATAGCTGTGTATCCCCAAAAGAAAGCTCCCAGAATGGCTCCCTGGAGAGCTTTGTCCCAAGTAAACTCACCTTCCTATAAATAAAATTTTGTAACTTTGTAACTTTCAAAAGATTTGAGTGATTGTGATGAGCGCACAACTATTCATATGACCTTTGTATATGGCAAGCCCTTTTGCTATTTATTCGGAAAATAAATTGTATCTTAAAATTAGAGATATCTCTCATTTTAGAGAAATAGAGGTATCTCCAAACTTAAAGAGATATCTCTCATTTTAAAGTGATATCTCTAAGAGAAAGAGATATCTCTTAAACTTAGAGAGATATCTCTTATATACCTGACCAGATATCTCTTTCTCCTTGTGAGGTATCTCTTTCGTGAAAAGAGATATCTGTGAACGTTAAAAAGATATCTCTTTTACTTTTGGAGATATCTCTTTTACTTTTGGAGATATCTTTCCAAATTAAAGAGATATCTCTTAAAGTAAAAGAGATATCTCTCTTCGTTTATCTTAAGAGACATCTCTCAAAGTGAAAGAGATATCTTTCAAAAGTGTATAAAAGAGATATCTCTCAAGCAAAAAGAGATATCTCTTTTCATTATTTTTATTTAAATCCATTTGAAATGACTCCTCCCTTTACCAGAAGTAAGCTTTTTATTCACGGAAGTAAATTAAAGCACTTTTAAATTTTGACATATTCATGATATTTTACATTAAAACTTTACTAAATATGACAAGTAATTCAGTGTTGTCAAGATTTCAAATTAGTAATAATTGATTATTTCATAGACTGAGAACATTCGGTCCATTGCATTTGAGATTTTATGCTAACTTTCGTTTTCCTTAACATTAAACTTTCATTATTTGTTGTTCAAAACAATGGATTTACAGCATTTTTTCTATAAAGTACATATATTATTCTGTGTATTGCATGCTCATTCTTTTTCTTATGACCGTAAAATTATTCCAGAGACTTGACTTCCTGTCTCGCTTTCGTGTGAAAGGGGAGAATTCATTATTTTATTTTAAGGATCACTGTCAAAGAGAAATCTTTTTTTTTTCATTTAAAGAGATATCTCTTTTTGAAAATCTAAAAAGATATATCTGTAAAAAAGATATTTCTTTTAATCTTGTTAAAGAGATATCTCTCTAACTTTAAGATATATCTCTCTCGCTTGAAGAGATATCTTTCTTGCTTATGAAGATACCTCCTCTAAGTAAAAGAGATATCTAGATATCTTACAAAAAGAAATATCTCTCTAAGGTATAAAGATATCTCTATTAGTCAAAGAGATATCTCTATGATCTAAAGAGATATCTCTCTATGCTAGAGAGATAGCTCTGCTATTGAAAGATTTTTTTTAATTTCACGAATAAATAGTAAAAGGGCTTGCCATATTTGTATACTAGTATGTCAATGTCGGTTATATCTATTATAAGTTCATATAATGTTCTTAAAATCCATACCATGTGTTTAGAGAGAAGTACTGGGTCGGGACAAAGTTTTGGCACACTGTATGGAGTTCCTGTAGCGTGGCTAGACTGATTAAGGTAGCTCTGCTCATAATTTATTGTTGAATTATTGAGAGGAGTCCAATGGGTTGACATATTGGTAAAATTTGACTGATGCTTCATGTTGGTTGCTGTGAGTTCCGTCTTAACCATACAGACGATAGCAATGCTGAGGTTGACTCTCTGGGCATACAAGAAAAAGAAACCGACGAAACATAGACCAGAGAAGCGCACTCGCCATGATGTCCACCAAGGAACTGAAAGGACAGAATTATTATGAATCAATTTTCATTTAAACAAAAAAGGATATCTCTACTCTTAAAAAATTTTTTTATTCAAGCAAGAAAGCAGCTGAAGTGAAACATGCCTTTATGTGCGTCCTTGTAAGGATGTGACTGTAGCTGCTCCATGAAATCAGAGGCTGTTGTATTATGATGGGGGTAACACATACTGACACTGCGCATGCGTCGGAAAGTTCTGAGTATAGTCTCACTTCCTGGTTTCTTACTCTTCCTGCTGCGTATAAAGTGCCTTTCATCAAAATCTCTGTTCCGTGAGGATCTGACATTTGGAAAGCCAGAACTAGATTCAAAATTACTGTTTTTCATCATCAAGATCTCCTGCTCTGAGATGGGGTTCGGTTTCAAGTCAACAGAATTGTCACGATCGTTTAGGTCTGTGGTGGCGTCGGTGATAAGTGTACCATCATTATGGACTGAGGAATCGGAGTTTTCAGAGGTCCCCATTTTTTTTCAGACCACTAAATCTGCAAAGTGCATAATATATTTTGTTAATATTAAATGCACTAAAGGTAAGATACCCTGGGTTAAACTGTGATAATATGTAACTTTTCATGACTGTCAGGTTGTAAATTTTGATTTTATAGGGTCGCATCGCAGAAAATACTAAATTTACAACATGAAATGTTATGTTTACTAAGTAAATTTAAAATTCACATGACATAACATTTTGTCACACGATAAACAATAAATAAATGACATAATCCTAAATTTGAAAATACAAGTTTTCTGTTGATTTAGATACCCTTAGAGTTAAAAAAACTCACCAGCCTCAAAGCTCTAGGTTAATATAGTGTTCTTTGATGGTTGCTAACAAAATGTATTGACTACCAGTATGATTGTCGTATTATGCGATTTTGCCATCTGTCTTGTTTGTTTACGCCTTCTGAAGTCCTGGCCAAAAGATTTTTTTTGTCCACTCAGTCAAAACACTGGAAATGTTAATTTTATATTTGTATAGATTTATATACTACTAGGACTTTTTTTTAAGGTGTAGAAAAACATAATTGTTATACTTTATGGAATATGATAATAATACAAGTGTTAAACTTCTAAATTTAGAACTATCACCATTGGAGACATACTATAGTATGTTTGGTTGCTATAGAGTTTTTTTGCATTACACTTCTAAGTTAACTTGAAGGTTATTCAAAAATATTTATACGCTTCTGGGGCCTAAATGTATCTTGTCAAACCCTCAATCTAACTGTTGTCTTTGGCATGGCGGATCAGGCAAACGGGTTGGTTCTGTGGTCCGAACAAACACATGTATACCAGTATACTTATTCTTTCGCTCTCAGTCATTGATACATGTATCTAAAATTTTATTTTAGTCGATCAGCGAGTTAATAATTAAGTAAAAAATTTAAGCCAAAAACTGAATTCGGTGGGTGTGACCGGTCGGCAGGGGATGTTCACTTCTCCATGGCAACTGGTCCAACCTCTGATGCTTTGGAGGTCCGCTCTGCTCCTGAATTGTATTGTGTAATGGACTTTGAGCTTAAATACTGTTCGTTGTATCTATATATTTCATTCTATGAGAAGAACTGATCGAGCTCGAGACAGGTACATGCAAGACTGATATCTGTTCTTTTTTCACTTACAGTTAAAAGTTACCGTTTATTTAAAACATGATATTCATATTAGTGTTATGATTAGATAATATCGAGTAAGCGAGTTCACAGACAGTAAGATGCTTTCTAGTACGGATTTTTTTCATAAACAGCAATGAAATAACAAAACCGAGAGTACGATGGCGGTTACGTTTGGCGGATCTAAGTTCACTTACGGGCAATTTTTAATGAAACTGAGAATAAACTATCGTTAGATTATTTGAAAAAAGAGATTATTGTGATTATTCAATCAACGCTTGATGTAATTGATATACAAGGAAATATTCGTCATAAGTTAACTGATTAAAAAAAATAATAATAAAACGTCATTTAATGAAACTGATAATTTTTAAGTTCAAGCAAGAAGCCCAAGAGTCACAACGCTCATATGATCTACTTTGGCTATGCTGTTCTTCATCAGAACCCCTCCCCTCGTTATCTAGTTGTGGCCCCATCCTACCTTCCCATCGGGGGGGGGGGGGGGGGGCAAGATTCGAACTTATATTAATATACACTACCCCAGGATGCTTCCACATAAGTTTCAGCTGTTGTGGCCCCGTGGTTATTGAGAAGAAGCTTTTCAAAGATTTTTTAATTTAAAACTTGATTTCTTATTGTGACCCCAACCTACCCCCGGGGACCATCATTTGAACAATTTAGAATTTTCACTACCCCAGGATGCGTCCACATAAATTTCAGGTATCGATAAAATTCCCGCGCTACCTGGGAGTTCCAAGCTTTCAATTTCTTGGATGGACATATGTAAAATGCATAAGTATAAAAGGTCAGTTTAAATTATGTTGTTACATTCTTTTAAACTTAAACTATTCTTAGGCGATGTTTTACACGCATTTAGAAATATTTTTTCACTTTGTAAATTAACGAGTTCAAAAGAGAACAATTAGATCTATATAAAAAGTTTAAAATTATGAGATCAATCCGAATAACCTGAAAATTGAAAATACTGCAAATATGTACATTTATTTATTTATTTATTTATTTATTAAAAGTATCAAATAATATATTTTAAAAAAAAGGCAAAGACATGCAGAAAAAAATTCTTTCTTTAAATACAGTGTTCCTGTGCTATTTATAACTATCGATCTAACTAATTGATTTGCTGTTCTAGTATGTTCTAGAACGATTTTATTAATAATGGTATTTTGCGCCTGAATTCCGCAGATAAAATGAAACAAATACACAATTATTTAAGTATAAGTAATTTTTTTTTTAATTTAGGTGCTTTCAATTATCAGTGTAAACATTATAAATACAAAAATACATAAAACATGGCCTCACCTAACTTTACATGAACGTTACCTTGTTCGAAGAGAGCCACGCCAAATTGGGTGTGTTTACACGCTTCCCGAAACTAGAGATGATTTAAATGATGTCTGTGAGGGACTGAAACAAAAATTACTGTTTGATAAAGTCCAACATGACAGAACCAAACTCTCAACACAGTCGTTCCAGACGCCGATTCCGACTCCGGGTCAATGGCCTACGTGCACTTTGAAGTAATTAATAACAGTTCAATTCGAATTTCACAAATATTTTAAACTTACAACTCGTTTTTTTTACTGTTCAGTGTTTTTAAGGGAAAAAAAAAACAGAATTGTGTTTTTAAGGGAAAAAAAACAGAATTATTTTAACAATTCTTTGTTGTGCAGTATGTGCTCATTAGCAGCACAATATTCATAATACAGAGAATTCAAGGGCGGATCTTAATCGCACTCATGTTTGTCAGTGGTATCCTCTCTGTCCAGCTTTAAGATACTATATGAACTCTCCCTCTCTGACCCATACCCCCAATGTACTCTTTACGAAAAGTACAGAATAGTGTGTATCTCATGTTAAAAAAGCCTCTCTAAGCTTCTTTTAGACTGGAGTTATTTCCACGCCCTTCCTTAACCTCCTTTGTTTTGTTTCATCATTGGAAGCAGAAAGTATATAGTCGAGGCCTCATGATCATGAATCGCCTATAAAATATTTATTAATTATTGTTATGGAATTATTTTTCTACATTACTTTTAATTTGCTGATAACAACACTTTTGTTTAGCAATATTGAAAAACATTTTAATTCTCAATGTCGGTTAGACTTCCTCAACTTTTTAGTGCAATTATTAGCACAGCTTAAGGAAATTTGCTATATCAAGGATTTTTTGAGAGGTATATTTTGGATAAGTACTCATATAGAGTGACTCAAAATCGCATAGAAAATAGGGGGGTCGGTGTGCATCTTACTGATCTACGGTACATTTAAGTTGACTTTTTTGCACTTAAACTTTAATTCTTTGGTAAATTACTTTAACCTTTATCATATTTTATTACATGTAACCATGGCAATAAATATAATTTCATTTTACGTAAAATAGTTTGAATAATATTTATCATTGAACAAATCTTGCAAATTAATGCGCGTTAATTATTGTGTGACCTTTTTGCACTAAAAAAATAACATATTTGGGGTATTAAAACAAAATAGACAATAAAACCTTTTCTTAAATCAAGCTTTTTACGACTTTAGTGCTGATCAGTCACAAGTAGAAAAAGTTGGTGTCAGTGATGTTAATTTTGAAATATTGGTCAAAATATGTGATTTTCAGGCGAAAAATGGTATAAATTTTATCTAGACTTATTTGACATATCTTCATTTTTTGGCAAAGTTTGTTGAAGGAAGGTGTAAAACTTGTTCTAAAAATATAAATTAAGACCTAAATTAAATTTTCCTAGCAATATCATAACGAAAATATTCTCCCAGTTAAAGTATGTGAGGCTAAAGTTCCAAGATATTAAATTTAATAAATGTGCAGATTTGTAGAATTATCTGCTAAATATTCTTCCACCACAAGAAATAGTCCCTCATAAATCTTGCTTCTTAGTAGTAGCTTTTTGAGCAGCTTTTTCGTTGAATGATAAAACATTAACATTTTTGAATTAAAATATGTTATAAAATTTGAATTTTAATGAATAGTTTTGAAGTAAGAGGGTCTGCGTGAACTTTTCCAAAAAGCTGACGAGTGACCTACCTTAAACAGTATGTCTGAAGTTTTTCCTTAAAACAGTTTATATCTTCAGACATACTGTTTAAGGTAGGTCATTCGTCAGCTTTTTAGAAAATTTCACGCAGATCCTGGGGGCCTGGTTTCGCCATTGAACTATCAATAAACATAGAAGGAATAGCCATATTTTACCCACACTTGGATGATTTCTCTCCCCATCTTTCAATAACCTAGCTGAAAAAAGTATTTGTGTGTAGGGGTGGGGGGCTACACTTTCCATATGCCAGGCCCATGATTCGATATGTACAGCCTTAAAAAACAGTGACCTCTAAATATTATTGACCTTTTTCAGCAAATGGGGTATATGTACATGTATATATTAAATTCATTTTGACAATATCAAAAAAGAAGAATTACAATTTTACGAATGATTGACTGAACAATTAATCAATAAAATCAACAATGTGTGAACTGTGTGCTTTCAGCACATTTATTTAACAACTTAAAAAATAAGATACATTTATGGACATGTAACATTATTATAATCGGGTAAAAATCATATATTATACAAATAATTATGTTGAAGGAAATAAGATGGAAATCAGGTTTAAACACATCTCTCACTGTTTATAACAATACATATTTTAAAAATTCAACGTTAATATCATGTAGACAAGTTGCTGTCCTTTAAAAAAGGACTGCAATACGTGGACCATATGCATGTGTTTTTAACCGAAATTAAATGTTAAAAAATCTAGGTGTAGTGAATATCCATGTAGGTTTGTTCACATTTTCTACAATGATCTGCCAACTTATGACTGATTGTAGTC